TGTCCATGGGCTGAGTTGTTCCCTGTAGCCTGTTGCCATCTCAACTGTTATAAATAATCCTGGCACTAAGTGCGCTGTTACACTGAGGGGAAGTTGTTCTTAGGGCGTGAAACCTGAGAATATGGGTCAGGGGAGGAGGGGTGATGGGGGACAGAAGGAAGAGGTGGGGAGCCATCACCCCGAGGCTCAAGTACAGTCCTGAGCTGGTGATAGATTAATTTCTGGAGCAGTGGATGGCATTTCAAGTGAAATGTTTATAGGAAATGAGTGTGATTTAAACAATGTCTTGGCCGATAAACACCAGCCAGATGGGGGGAGAGGGCCAGGAGAAGGGTGGAGAAATCAAAGGCCCAGAGGGCCCCAGTATTAAGCAGCTGTCTGAAGCGCTGCTCAAACACACACACTAGCTTTGGTCTTAACATGTTTTTAAGAGCTGGTTATGATTTCCTCGAGGGCAGCTCAGATTAAGACTGGAGTGGAGCCCCCAGCTGAGTGCCTTCAATAACTGTCCATCACATCCTCTTTAGAGTCAGCAGCCTCCTCCCCTCAGCTCAGGGAGCCTGGGATCGAGGAGGGCTGCCAGGCTGCCTTGCTCATGAGCCTCTTCCTGGGCAGCACTGGGGCCTGCTGACCTTCACACCTAGATGCTGGGCAGATCCGGGGATGGGCATTGAGCTCCTCCCCCAAGGCGCTCTCAGTCTTCAAGGCAAAAGAAAACATACAACCTAGAAAAGAAGAGAGAGCATGAAGAGCGCAGAGGATGGACGTCAAGGAAGGGAAAACTGTCACCAGATTCAGAATCTGGGGCTTTCTCACCATGTTGACGGCTGCCACCCTGGTCCAAGCCACTCATCTCTCTTTTGGATTAGTGCCAGAGCCTTTCAACAGGTCTCCCTGCATCTTGACCCACCCTCTACCCCGACAATCCATTCTCAACACAAAAGACAGAAGGCCTATTTAAAATGTCAGTTCAGTCATATCTGTCCTCTCCATTCAGAATAAAAATCAAACTCCTTAAGATAGCCTTCAAGGCCCTACATCACCAGGCCCCCTCATTACTTCTCTGATATCATCCCTTCCCACTCTTCTCCTTGTTCACTGGCTTCCAGGTTCCACAAACTTGCCTGGCACATACCTGCCCCAGGGCCTTTGCATCAGCTGTTCCCTCTGCTTGGAATTCTCTTCCCCAAGATAGCTGAGGGACTAACTTACATCCTCATCTCTAGGTCTTTATTCAAATACTTTATTCTCAGTGAGATCTCCTTGACTAAAATATTTAAAATCGCAAACTTCCCCTTCATCTTGATCCCTCTTTCTCTGATTTATTTTTTTCAGTAATAATTCCCACCTAATATATAATAGAACTTACTTATCTAACAAATGTATTGTTTATTATCTGTCTCACCCTGCTAAAATGTAAACTCGACATGGGAAGGTGTCTTTCTCTGTTTGGTCACCAGTGTATCCCAGGAACCTATACTAGTGCTCAGTAGTAATAACTGCTTAATGAGTAAGCAAAAAAGATGAGATTTGGAGGGAAGGCAGGGGAAGCCATCCTAGGATGGGGTCCACTTATGCCTCATCACACTGCAGGCCATGAATGAGGACCAGAGCGGGAAAGGAGAGTCAAGGTGATAGACACAAGTGCAAGAGTTGTGCTAGGCCATCACTAAAACTGGGAGGATTCTGTTGGCAAAGAGACTAGCCTAGATCTACCCCCTGAATCTGGTGGAAGACTTGACTTTATGTTGGAATTTCATCATCTCAGTGACCAAGAAGCACTTTGGGATAATAATACCAAAGGGATGTGCCAGGCAAGAATGAAGTGATTGGAAATGATGGGTGGATGGGAATTCAGAGGTCTCCAAGGTGGGGGAGGGTGTATGTTATTGTGTATGTTCATGGAGGGAGGGAACCGAGTCATCATCTCAAAGAGGACGTTCCTTCTTCACTGAGGGCAGAAGCCAAAGCCATGAGCGGCACCGAAAGTAAAAGGAATTGGAGTTAGACATCCAGGAAGACTTCCCAACAGTGCAACGGGTAATAGAGGGAAGGTATGGAGACTGGTTCTCTGGAGAACCTGAGCAGGACCCAACTGGGTCCTCAGCCAGGTGAACACTGAGGGTCTTGGGATGGCAGAGTGGGGACTTAGAGCCCTGGAAAGGGCTCCTGCCTCGGCTGGGACCCCTAACCCCTCCCTCTCACCTGCAAGGCTTCTGAGCTCCCAAGGCATGCAGTCATCTCAGCAGGGTGGGGTGGGGGGAACGGAAGGTCCTTGGTCTTCCCAGACCCGCCAGTCCAGGTGTGTCCTTTTACCCCTCTCTCCCAAACCTCTGTGCTCAACTCAGCTTTGTGGCGACTTTAGGGTACAAGCCAGGAGACAGAGAAAATATCTTTGAGGGTTCTACAAGCCAGTGGTTGCTGTGGTTAGGATGGAGAGAGGACCTGGGTGGCCTGGTGGTCCTGAGCGTGTGGGAGGGAGACTTACTTGTCACTGTGTAACTTTTGATGCCTTTTGAGTTCTCAACCATGTATATGTATTTCCTATTTGAAAAAAATAAGATAATTAAAAATCAGACAGAAGCAATGACAACAATAATAACAAGAACAAGAATAGATCCAGGGAAGTGAGACTGCTGCAGCGCTGAGGGGCATTAAGGGGTCCTGTGTCCAGACTGTCAGTGTCAGCTCCCTCTCTTGGTCTTTAATGGCCCCATCTCCCCCTCGACCTCTCCACGTCATGTGCAGGGCTGTGCGTATGCTACCAGTCAACCTTCAGTGAGATAATTCTAAAGCTGCATGGTCTGAAATGTCATCTTTTTCCAGGGAGTCATCTCTTTATGCAGCTCTCCTCTGTTCCCTGCCAGTCTGGTGTCTGATCGTTTATCCCGCCCTTCCTGCCTTCCTCTTCTCCAGCACCCTCAACCACAAATGTAGCTCTCCCCTGAAATCTGGCCCTGCCCCAATGAGACACATGACCTTGAGCAAGTCATTTAACCTTTGTGCGCCTGTTTCTTCATCTATAATTGAGGATCGTGACCTTCCTCCCAGGGCTCTTCATGAATCCATTTGTACAACAAGCATGTTTTCTGTGCCAGGCGCTGCACCCGGCCCTGAGGATCACATGAGCCAATGTATGTGGAGTTAGCGCAGAGACAGAGTTATTGCCACAGCTTCCTTCCTTGGATGGTTTTCTGGCCTGGGCGTTTCAACCCCCTTGACTAGCATGCCCTTGGAAGAGTTCACTGTATACTCCCAACCTCTCAGCTTCCAGCACTGCTCCTGGGGTGAGGCTGACATCCTCCTCTGGATAATGCATCAGCAGCTGCAGAAACAACCTCTTTCCCAGGCTTTTCCATTTGGAAGAGTCGGACACAACTTAGCAACTAAACAAGACTTGAGGGCATCCCTTTGCCCACAAGAAGGAATAATGCTGAAATTTACATATGGCCTTTAGACTGAAGCTTCAGGAATCTCTCTCTTGTCCTATAGGGGCCCTGTCGCTGGGAGTTGGAGCTGGAAACGGGGTACAGAGAATCTGCCCCTGTCCCAGTTCTGTTCATTTCTCTCCTCTACTCAGGTCTCTTCAGGGGCCGGGCTCAGAGGCAGAGGCTGGGATTGGAAACTCCCTCACATTTGCCTTCCTCTGAGTGTGACGCGAGCTGTGGAGAAAGATGAAACCTTCTCAAAAGACAATCCCTACCTCAGCACATATAGGAGCTGGTTTCAGAGAGAGGAAAGAGAAGTTTCCAGAGCTCTCAAAAGGAGGCTGTCCTCACTCCCTGCCTGGCCACTGAGGGTTGGGTACTACTGGAAAGGAGGAGTGTTTGTTTGTAGAAAGAATGTTCTGTTTCAGTCCTGGTCATGACAAAATCCCACCAAAGTGATGATGATAGACCACAGGGATGGAGGGATCAAGTTGAGACATAAGGGGGGACTTCCTGATTGTCAGGAAACAGGTTGGAGAGAGACTGGGGTGGGTTAGCAGGAACCACTCAGATACAGTCCAGAGGCAAGAGGAAGGATGAGATGATCTGAGGGCTGCCAATGATTCAGGGATTACATGATATTGCAGAGCTGGCAGGGATGGGAGCGGAGGCCAGAGAGATGGGAGTTCATCCTTGTCTAGAGCACAAGCCCCATGGATAGGGACCAGGCTCTCTGGAGCCCCCCAGCATACCCAGCACCAAGCCTTACACAGGCAGACTAGGGAATCTGACTGCAGTGGACAAATCTTTCCCTGGCAGATGGTGCCAACTCCACTCTCAGGGAATGACAGCTGTTTAGAGCCTCGGCCAAAAAAAGTGGTTCCAGACTGTGGGACGAGGAAGTACTTCTTCATGTCCAACCTCAAGCCTGCTGGTTTTGATTTTATGGCAACTGGTGAGGTTTGCCCATCCCCAGAGGACAAACTCAGAAGGGAAGGCTATGGGAGAGCTGGCCAAACTCTGGGCCTCACTTTCTCCCTCTGTAGAATGAGGGGGCTGCGCTAGATTATTTCTAAGATTTTGTTCACCCCTGCATATCTGTTCCTCTTCCATTCTCTCTACTTCCTCCATTTTCTCCCCTTTTAAGTCCCTGTCTTCCACTTAATGGGGCTTCCCAGGTGGCTCAAGTGGTGAGGAATCCACCTACCAATGCAGGAGACTTGACTTCCATCCCTGGGTGGGGAAGATCCCTGGAGAAGGAATTGGCAACCCACTCCACTATTCTTGCCTGGAAAATCCCATGGACAGAGGAGCCTGGCGGGCGACAGTCCATGGGGTCACTTAAGAGTCAGACACTGACTGAGCAAAGAATAAACAACTCCCACTTAATCCACTGCCTTCCCTATCTCAATCTCTCCCCTCCCCAACCAACTCTTTCCCGTTTTCCTCTTTACCCGTAAAGAGTGAGAGAGGTCTCCCAAACTACCTAGCCCTCTCCCTGGAGCCCAGGGTGTCCTGGGTTCCCCTCCCCCACCGCTCCCGGGTTCTAGCTCCCCCTTCCTCGACCTTAAGACGCCAGAGCCGGGAGACTGGAAGGAAGACCCTCTAAAGCAGCCTCTGCCTTGCCCCTGCAGCTGCCCCACTGCGGGGGCCCAGGTCCCCAACCCCCCAGCGTGGCCAGCCCGCCCCTCTCCCAGCAGCCGGTGCCGCTGTGCGCCCTCACCCCACGCTAATGCGATCTGGAGAGACCCTGGCGGGCGGCGGGCAGTCTGGCCGAGCGTCCCGGGCGGCGCTGATGGATGGTCCCCTGACAGTAATCGCGAAATGAGGACGCGCTGGCGACGCTCTCGCCCGAGGCCCCGCTGTTCGGGAGCCCCTGAGTCCCTCCCTCCGCAGCGACGGGCTCCAGGCGCTGTCCCCATCCCACTGGACTCTGGGGAGGCCTGGGACCTCCAGGTGAAACCCGAAGCGGGCCTTTCCCTGCCCTGTGTCCGGCTAAAGGCACTGGCTTCTGTTGGGGGTTCATCCTTGGATCTACTGCTTCTGTGATTCAAGCTACCCATCTCCTTGAGCCTCAGTTTTCCCTTCTGTATAAGGGGAAATATGGTCCTTATAAGCCTGGAAGGAGAGTGTTAGCAGCAAAGGAGGAAATGCTGTGGAAAATTATCACTCTCCCCGAAGTAGCAATCAATTTTTACTTTTTAGTTCATGTCGCTCAGAATCATCTAGGCTAATGCAGGAAGCTGAATGAGAGTTGGTGGATATTTACATGCAGACTGTATGTTCATACAAGAACATAGGTCATAGTGCTTGGGGCTGTCTAACAAGTCTATCTGAACGTAAAACACGATGGTGTCAGTATTGCTTCGATGTCTGAAGAAGAAGGTCAGCACAGACATTCCTTCTGAAGTGACCACCTCAAGGCCCACCTACCCGTTTAAGCCCCAGTCCCATCCAGTCTTGGGATCCCCTTCAGTCAAAGGCAGGGCTGACTGAGGGCTGTGAGAAGATTCCGCTTAGGGAAATGCTCCTGGACCATTTTCCAACCCCTCGCCACCTCCAGGTGACCTAGAGTTCTAAGGCTCCTCTGCTCCCCCACCCCAGGGTACCCCCCTCAGGCAAGGGCCCTTTTGAGAGCTGGGGGCAAGGACCCAGAACCGATTACCATTCTGAGAGCACACCCAGACGCCTCCTCACTCCCTTTTAACCTTTCCCTCTCGTAGGAAGCCAAATTGAGTTAGTCTTGAGTTTTGATTTAATTCCCGAAATGGAGTCATAATCTGTTTAGTGTCCTTTTTCCCAAGTCCTGAGTACTGAAGTGTGTGTTGGGAGAGAGGCGGAGTTAATGAGAGAGCAGCTCTGTGGCTTGTGGAGAACCTCACACACTTAACCTCCAAACACCACTAAACAGCAGGAGATACCAGGGCTGAGCTGCCGAAGGCCACTGCTGGTATAATGGGGATCAAAAGGAGGATGGCTAATACTTGTTGGGCACCTGGGGGTGCCACTACTGAGTCAGGCACTGCCCATAAATTTCACACTTAAGTCCCACAGTTATCTTCCAGGTAGGTACCATGAATCCCTGAAGAAGGAAATGGCAACCCACTCCAGCATTCCTGCCTGGAAAATCCCATGGACAGAGGATCCTGGCAGACCACAGTCCATAGGGTTGCAAAGAGTTGGGCACAATTGAGGGACTGAGCATAGGTACCATGAATAGTCCCAATTTACAGATGAAGAAACTGGGACTTAGGTTAAGTAGCTTACTCTGCAGCATCCTATAGCTATTATTAAACAGCAGAGCCCAACTTTGAAACTATCAAAGACCACAAAGCCTGTGCTCTTAAGCCCATCCTGGGGTGACCCTGGGCTAGATACTCAACTGTTCCAGGTACCAGTTCCCTTATTTGCATAATACAGAAAATAAATGGAGGTAATACTATACTCCCTTCACAGATATGTTGTGTTGATTAAATGAGGTAAGGTATTCACCCCATTCACAGGAAGCATTCGATTAAGTGCCATAAACAATGGGGTGGGGTTGGGCAAGGGAAGAGATATAATGCAATGTGATGCAATGGGGTGACTAATCATTATACACTGTCACTGTTGATAACAATAGTTATCAGGTGTAATACTCCTGGGCACAGGCAACCCTACAAGGAAAAGATGGCTATGCCTGTTTTATAGATGAAGAAACTGAGTTTCAGATAAATTAAGTAAATTTCTTAAAAACCAGCTGGTTAATAAAGGGCAGTACTGAGCTTATATTCAAACACTGGGCCCTTGGACTCCAAAGCAGGCAGCTCCCAGTGCCCCAGGGTCACCAGAGACTGGCCTCTTCTGGGAGAGGTCAGGGCTAAGGCCAAGAAGCCCAAGTTACATCTTCTACAACCTGGGACCTGATTTTCTCAGGTGAGCAATGTTTCCTTAAAAGAACAGGAGGAAAGTAAAGCAGCAGCTGAGACAGTTTCCCCCTCCCTCAAAGCCAATGTGGAGCCTCCCCTCCCCTCCCCTCCCCTCCCCTCCCCTCCCCTCCCCTCCCCTCCCCTCCCCTCCCCTCCCCTCCCCTCCCCTCCCCTCCCCTCCCCTCTCCTCCCCTCCCCTCTCCTCCCCTCTCCTCCCCTCTCCTCCCCTCTCCTCCCGTTTCCTCTGTGCTCAAGTTTGTGGCCATTAAATAGAAGAGGAGAAAGTTTGAACCAGGCATGAAATATTTATCAGTTAATTACAATATGCAGATTCTGTTCCTGGGGGTGATTTATCTTTTTGGAAATATAGGAAAAGATCCTGGAAACTTGTATCCTAATTGCTTGGCCTATTATTGTAGCAACCAGGTAGAAACTCCATTTACTATGTAACTACAGATTTTCCTCACTAGCTGCCTCTACCTCTGTCACTGGTGGTCTGAGGATCATATACTTTTCTGATGAGGGAGGAACCTTGGAGGGGTCCATTTGTCCATTCCCCTGTTTCCTCTTGGGGTGGCCCCTTTCTAAATCCCAATAGTTGTAAGAAATGAAAAGGATGAAAGTCAGAAATTCTGCGATCTCAAGTCAATCCGAAGTGACAGCCCCCCACCAATCCCGCCTGAAGCAACGTGGCTGCTGAGGCGGCCCCAAGTTGAGAAGGAGTTCTAGGCTGAGTACCCTTCCTGCTGTACTTCTTGTTAACACACAGGAAAAGGGCAACATGGCAGCCTTCTAGCACCTCTTGTGTCCCAGGGCCTGTACCTAATCCTTGGCTACAAATTAGCATCACCTGAGGGGTTCTTAACAATCCAGAAGCCTGGGCACTACTCCAAATCAACCAAATTAGAATCTCAGGAGGTAGGACCCAGGCATCAGTATTTCTTAAAGCTCCCGAGGCAGTTCCAATGTGTGGCGAATGATGTGGCCCTAGAGAGCTACCAGGAGAGAGTGACTGCTGGGGTAGGGCACTGCTTATCTGCACGACTCCATCATTGTTATCCCTCCCTTTTAGATGCTGGAGGAGGCAATTCCTTCACTTTTATTGGAATCTGAAGAGCATCCTTTTCCCTCCTTACAAGAAACTTGATATTAATAACCACCATTTATCAAGCTCCTGCTGAATGCTTGGATCCATGCAAATAAAATTTAATCTGATCCACACAACTGTTCCATAAGGTCAGTGGGTATGTCCATTTTATGGATGTCTAAGACAGGTTAAGTAGTCTGCCTAAGGTCGTACAACCAGCCAGTGACAGAGCTGGGATTTGAATCCAAAACCCATGCTTTTAGCTACTCAGTTTCTCAAGGCTGGAAGGGAAGTGCTTCCTAGCTGGTACCTGAAGGTCCTAGGGAATATATTAGGGAAAAGGGTAGAGAGGGGCTACACGTGGATGGGGCATGAAGGAAAGAGTGGTGGGTGGGAGAGGCCGGACAGGGTATGTGGGGAAGGGCTGAGGTACCTGAAGGAGGGTGTGGGGAGGAGCTGGAAGTGGGAGAACAGCAGGACCAGGACCGCTGAGCAGAGCCCATCATTAGGACTGGGTGGCTGGAACAGGGAGGGAACTTGTGTCAGAGGAGGGGTCTTTGTGAGGCCCGAAGCAGTGAGGAATGCCCGCCATGAATACTAAGGGCAAGAAGAAGAGAAAGGGCCAGAGGGGGCTGGGTGATGTTTAGCTGCTGGGGTGATTAATGGGGGTGAACGGAGGGTGAAACTAAAACCCTTCGAACGGAGATGGTGGGGAATGGTTGTCCAAGAACAACAGTGCACTGTTTTGTGGAGAAAGCCAATGTCCAGAGGAGGGGCCGGTGGGGAGGACGCAGGGCACAGTTGCTCCTTCCCTTTTTTCCCAAGGTCTCTTTATTTGCCATCAAACAGTAAATTAAAATATACTTGCCAGCTCCAGAGGACTCTCTGGATGGGCTTCCTACCTGCCTCCTGGCTTGTGAGAGACCCAGAGACTCTGGGGTGGCCTGAAGGAAGAGCGAGTGAACTTTGGGGTGGTGGCTGAGATGACTAAGTGGACCAGCTCCACTGGGGCAGGAAGTGGTGATGCGCTGGCTGGGCCACTGGCTTACCCTGGACCAGATGGCATAGAGAGATGCACAGGGGCCGGGTCCCCAGTGGTGGTGTTCTTACAGCAGCCTTTGCCTCAGGGAGGAGGAGAGGGCTGCTTCTCCCTGAGAGAGAGCTGGGGGAGGGAGGTGGCACCTGGCACCTGGCACCTGGCATCAAGGTGTTAAGATGGGTTTGAGGAACAGAGGGACAAGTCATGGGAAGTAGGAGGCCTGAACCCCTCTCCTCATTTCCTACTTCTGTCTCTCTCTAGGTGCAGCTGTGGGAGCTGCCTCACCCTCCCCATCGCATTTCCGGAGGACAGGAAAGGCAGGAAGAGGGGATGAAGAGAACTGTCTCAGTGTAGAGGGAGGTGAGCTGCAGGCAGGGATTTAAAGGGAAATTAGGGAATTTCTCTCTAGGCCATTACAGATGTGAAACAACTGAAGGATTCTACTTCCCCACCCCCAATCATCCCAGGGTGTGGTGCCTCCTACAGGGGAGTGAGGTGGGGGGAAAGGGAGGTCAGGAAAAGGAGCCCAGTGTGTCTTCAGGGGTCCCCAGAGGGCTGACAGAAGCCATCATCCCCTAAGGGCAGGGGATCAGACCACCCATCCCTGATCCCAGATCACTTGAATACTGCGCCTGGGAGTCCTGCTGCCAAATCTTAGTTCCTCTCTCCACACAAGGTTGGCCAAGATGCTTTTCTTGG